AAGAATAGTATTAATATAATGGACTCACACGTATGTGTACCGAACCCTTGTCACTTTTTATTCGCGTGATGATGAATTCCACGCTTTATTCGAGAAATGTTACCCTATTAACGATTCTCCTCGCTGACCCGGCTGCTTGGTACGGAATGCATACGCATAAGCATATCCGTCTACCACCCAGCACCAAATGGTTCAGTTGAACGGTTTCACTGTCAACTTAAAAGTGTTCTACGAGCACACGAAAACGGCAACTGGCACGAAACCTTACCGCTCGTTAGGGGTGAGAACGAGCTTAAAGGCAGATATCCAATGTTCCGCCACTGAACTTGTATACGGCACGACATTGTGTCTCCCCGGAGAATTCTTCACACCACGGAGCAGACCTAGTTTCGGTAAACCAGACTACGTCCATCGACTGTCTGCATTTATGCGAACGCTGTCTCCCGTGTCAACTCGAATACAACATCGACAGGTCGCTCTCCCTCGAGAGTTATCTACCTGTTCACATGTTTTGTACGAGTAGATTCGGTACGCAAACCTTGGCAATAACCTTGCGAAGGCCCTTTTCACGTGATCGCTCGTCACGAAAAGACCTTCAAGGTTGATCGATATGGACGCGTCGAGATCGTCAGCATTGATCGTCTCAAACCAGCACACGTCGATGACAGTGCCCTATCTGACACCCTGAGATTCAATGCTAGACCTATCAAACCTAGCGGGATCTTAAATCTTCTTCAGGTCCCACGCTAGATTCATCTGAGACCTCATTCTCACGTCCCGGTCAACAGCACGCGTCATCTGCACCGTCTACGGACGAGACGACAGTCTCACGTCCAGATCAGCAGACCACGCCGCCTCTGACCTCGGATGAGATTGCAGGCTCACGAAATACGAACGAGACTGCCGTCTCACGTTCCGGTCGCCGAGTACGGTTACCCGTACGCTTCCGCGACTAGCCGCACAGTCAACAACCGATACGGTGTAGGGTTATTCCTATACTACACGCATGCTACACTCCTCTTTTTTTGATTTTCTTTTTGTTTCCTGAGCCCACGCCTTCGACCATCTCCGTTTGGTTCCGTCGACTCCAGTCAACTTTGGCGAAAGCTGGATTGGCCACCCACGCTCTTGTCAACGTACTCAGTCGATATATTGGTTTCGAATGCTTGGCATACGCTTGGTCTCGAACTTGGTCGTTACGGTCGCTTCTGGTCTTTTGGCTCAACGTGGTTTCGTCCTTCGTCTGCAGCGTTTCTGGTCCGCATTCCCTACGAACGCCCTCTTCAGATTCTGGATACAAACCACTCTGGTGTAGCATGCCAATTCAAACAACAAATACAGCACATCGCTCCTGGTACCGTTCTCCGAAAACGACCTTCGTTGGCAACTCGACGATCAACGATTGCTTTCCTGTTCGCCAATCTTTCCGTCCTACAATCGCTCGTCAGCCGATCAGTCCCACGATTCAAACCGCTATTTATCGAAAGTGTAAACCCTTTCTAGCGGGGGGCTCCTGTAGTGATTCACATTTATCACGAGAACACGACTGGTTTAATAAAAACGATTACTATTATAACCAACTGTACCAGTGTTTGTTTTAACGTGCTTTTGTTTGACTGTGCTAATGACAGCTTTTTTGTGCTTCCATTCTTATACTTACACTTCAATTGTAACTTCGCGCGAATTCGGTTACCTTCTGTAACCAAGCTTGTATCCTGGCACGATCTCGGTATCCTTTCGATGCCACGAGATCGCCACCAAATATAACTCGACTTGGTCCATTAACTGTCTTCTGGTATTTGGCTTCTCGGGGATTTTATGGAGTCATTTGGAACGAGCTTCTTACGCCTTCTGATCTAATTGCCACGTGTTTCTTGGTAGCGGTGTTCATAGTTAATCTCAACTCGACGCCACGCTACAAGTTCGTAGTTCCTGAGATTCCATTCCAACAAACCACTGGATTCATAGATACCAATACAAGGCTTCTATCCGGGCATACCAGATTTTTGAGTTGTTTACTCCGCCTACTGAAAGTCTGAACTCCAAAATGGCAATCTCTAAAGTTATTGTGGCTTCAGATATTTGAGTTAATTCAGAGAAAGCCTTTGAAAAATGACTCTCGAAGTCACTAAGATCATTAAGAGAATACATCATATGAAAAAGTATGGAGAAAAAATAAACGTGAGAGTGGTGGACAAAAATATGAAAATTCCAAAACTAATGACAAAGTTATTATAAAATAAGTCTACGTTAACTACCTCTGTAAGTGCAATAAACTTATAAAGCCTTTACACAAGTCAAAAGAAAATCTAAAGCCCGTGTAGAGTGGATGATCAATTAATAGTTGGAGGTAGATTATATGGACCTTGAGATACGTTGGACTACGAGTGAGGTACATGTTGAATGAAATTATAAGGTCCTTCAACTTACAATTCTGTCATCTGGAAATTGCTAATTGAAGAACAAAGGTTATAAGTAGTGCGCTTCTTGAGTTGTCCGTTACATTAGCAATTGTGACTAAATGTAATTAAACCTGTAAGTGTAATCATGCCATTTCCAGACTGGTCATAAATTCCAGAATTTGCTTTCACTGTATCATAGAAGCACCCTTCCCGTCAGTGAGTACAGATCCCCCCACACATACACTGGATAGCGTGACCATTAAAGAACTCGATGTCTTTGATCTACTAAATAAGCTTGACATAGGTAAATCCACGGGGCCCGATGAATTGCATCCTAGGCTACTGAAGGAATTATCTAACTTCGTTGCGAACCCTTTAAGTATATGCTTTAACCTGGTGCACTCTTAAGGACCAAAAGTTACCTGTAGACGTAGCCTTCATTGATTTCAGCAAAGCTTTTGACAAAGTTCCGCACAATCGGCTGTTATATAAGTTAAGAAATGTCGCGATTGGAGGCAATCTATTGATGTGAATAAAAGACTTCTTAGTTGGGCGTCAACAAAGAGTACGGGTGAACTCAAAGTTATCTAGCTGGGGAGCTGTGCTTAGTGGAGTGCCCCAGGGTACAGTTTTGGGACCAGTGCTATTCCTCTCGTATGTAAATAACCTTCCTCGTCTCCTATCATCATCGGTCTTGCTATATGCTGACGATGTCAAGATATGGAGAACGATACGAAGTAAGGGTGATAGCTTAGAACAGTGAGCTTCTGGAAAAGGTTCAGAGAAAAGCAACTAAACTGATTCCCGGAATAACGAAGCTTCCGTACGATGCTTGACTGACCAAGCTAAACCTTTTCCCGTTGTCATATCGTAGAACTAGAGGCGACTTGATTACGGTTTTCAAATTGCTTAGTGATATTCCCTCATTTTTTTGTCTCCCAAAACAGAGAATTTACGAGGACACTCCAAAAAAGTTCACAAACCCAGAACAAATTACTTGTCAGTTGACTATCGACTTTCCCATCGAATCATCAACGAGTGGAATTCATTACCTCAGCACATGGTTGAGGCTCCATCCCTCGACTCTTTCAAAAGAAAGTTGGATCAACTGAGAGGCCAGCATTGTCAGGACTAACACAGGCCATCAAGCCTCCTGTCCTTCCCAAACTGAAACTGAATAAAAATCTCATCGTCCTCGTAACATTTGGTGCATAGTTTTCTCTATACACACGTATAGAGAGTTCTAGGGAAATATTGGGTAAAATCGAAACATTTTGGGGTTTTTGTGTCATTTCCCCAAGATTTTCTATAGCGGCCTCCTCAAAACGGATAAACCAGAGCTCCCCATTTTGGGGAAAATTTGTCCCATTTTGGGGAGGCTTTGGCGAAATGGCACAAAACCCCCAAAATTTCCCCATAGTTGGGAGCTTGGGGGGTAAGATGTGCGTTCGGGATATTAGAATTCAGGAATACACTGACGGTTAGAACATTTTAGAATTCGACACGGAACTTAAAAGAAGTATTGTGTTAATGTACGTATGTATGTTAATTTAAGGGTCTACTAAAATATGCCAACTTATCAAGTCATATACTGAACTTAGGTTTTAGCAAGTGTTCAAAATCATGTTAAACAGCGAAAACTTAATTATATTAAGGGCTCTGAATCCGTTGTGTAATCAAGTCCGTAGTTATAAGCGGGTATTTCCGATTTTCGTGAGCTAGCAAGTCTAGTTTTCAAGACTGACCAGTTGCTCTGCTCAGCACTGATCGAGAATGTATACATACCATAACTACGCGTGTGGATCTGTTGCTTGGAGACGATTCGAAATCGTTTGCAATGGTGCAGGTTCATCCATTATTTCTCTTCCTTCAAATTCTAAGTTTCTGAAGTCCTTATAATTTTTTGTTCCACCAATTTGAATCTTTTTTCTTGGATCGTATTCTGGTTGCTTAACCCTTTCCTTCATCACTAATGATGCCCTGGTACGGCCGAGAGTGGGGAAAGTCCTTTCTCCCTCTCGAAATGCTTTCACATGGCCACACGTATATAGCCTCTGCCAGGGAAGTCCTACTCACTGCCTTCTCGTGGTAGGGGTGTTGTTTACGAAAATGAGAGGACGAAAAGCGAATGTCCGGCGCTTTAGCCGGATTCCAGACCAATGGTGCACATGTAATCCAGTATCCTGAAGGAACGAACGGCGTATGAACCAATTGTTGGTCGCCGGGCACCATGGAACTGCATCTCCTTACGATGCTCCACTGCCTTATGGATCAGACCTTTAGGTCGAAGGTTCGAGGTGTGGCCCTCTAAGAAAACCACCTGCTTTGGTTTGGGCACCCGGGCAGTATCACAGCCCTCACACAAACCAAATGAGATTTGTGTGGCGCGTATGTATTTGGTGCCTCCTTGTACCAATATCTATGTGTTAAAATAAATAAATAATGATAATACTACCTATACTACTCTAGGATTCGTCCTAACAGTTTCATCTCTATGTACTAATGGGATGGTGTAACCTAAACTGTGTACATGGGTGCCAGATTGCACGTTACGTTTGGCTGAGTGACTTTAATTTACTGTTCTTTCCAGGAGGTACCATGCAGACTGTATTTATGGTTGCTGAGAAACCATCACTAGCTGAATCAATAGCGAAATCCTTATCTAATAAGCGTAATTCAAGTCGACGTGGATTCAATGGAGCATGTTCTATTCATGAATGGACTGGTCAATTTATGAGTGAACAAGTTCGCTTTAAAATGACGTCAGTGTGTGGTCACGTAATGAATGTCGATTTCTTAAGTCGTTATAATAGTTGGGATAAAGTAGATCCTGTAAGTTGATTTTACTAGTCTCTCAAATTCAGGCTGAGCTGTTTGTTGCTCCGATTGAGAAAAAGGAAGCTAACCCCAAATTGAAAATGGTGGATTTTCTTCGCCACGAGGTTTTTTATATCTTTGACAGTACTATTGTTTAGGCGAAAAATGCTGGTATATTAATTCTTTAGTTGGATTGTGACAAAGAGGGTGAAAATATCTGTTTTGAAGTTATCAATTGTGTTCATTCAGTTATGGTACATCCCGTGAGTTGCTTATACATCATGTTTATTTACTTCTCAATGCGTTACTATTTTTTATTTGTTACCATTAAGAATTTTCATACAGTCAGTTTCTTTCATAAACTTAAACAAAGGAAAAGCGACAACTTTTGATGAATACATTAAATTCACTGTAGTACTTTGCTTTTCCTTCAGCTTCATATGAGTTAATGAGTTTAATTATTTCCAGTTATCAGCATTATGTTAAAAGATGAATTGTCATTCAATAACGAGTACGTTATGTATAAGTTGAGAGTTAAAGTTTTAAAAGAGTTGATAGTTCTAGAACATTAATAACTTTTCACTTATTTTCGACTATGCAACTGTGTACAACTTTAAACGTTTAAGAATTATAATGACCAATTGAGGTGTGTCATCGAACACTAGTGCAGACCATAATTATTAAGTATCTCAAACACATTATTGTAATATTGTGACAGCTTTTTATTAACATTCCCGATCTTTTCCATTAACTGATTGACAGGTGTAATCTGTTTCCATTAAGTTATCACATTTGATGGTTTTCTTTCTTCGTTTATAAGTTTGCATTTCCTTCACCTTGTTCAAAAGTGCTTTAATTTTTGGAGATTAGCAGTTACTTGGTGAATAGTCATAGTTTATTTCGGCTCACTATAACTATTGAAATATCAACTGGAGGCGCATTTGTTATCCAGTTTTCCACTTCATTAGCACCTGATTTACTGTATATGTTTCAAATTTACAACGTAGTACTAGTAGTAGCTTCTGCGTTCTGTTTTGCGTTTCCGCTTTTACTTAATTTTCATACCAGCGGTTATTATTGGAAAATATTAGTTATCGTAAATGAAATGTCATGTAAGCGTCAGTTTATAAAGAAACTTGATTCCAACCGCTCAATTATACTGAACATATTGGTTTCTTTTAATCCCATATTTTGAGAGCGAATTGTCCTTAATCCTAGCTAAAAGTGAAAATACTTATTCGTCTCATCTCATAAACTTTTTATTTTATGATTAGTCTGTCTAACCGTGATTTTACGTTTAGAAAAGAATTCTACGTGCACATTTCAGTGCTGTTACTGACCAAGAACTACATGGTGCTATGAAAAATCTTCGAGAACCTAATAAACACGAAGCATTGTCAGTAGATGCTAGGCAAGAACTTGATCTTCGAATCGGTTGTGCGTTCACTAGGTTCCAAACGAAATTTTTTCAGGTGAGTTTTCAGAATTGAAGAAATGTCTTCCTTTAATTATTAAAATAGTTTATAAAATCATAACTATTGTAACGTTTGTATTCCCTTTCCGACGAGATTTTTTTAGGTTATTTAGCTTTTTATCTAAATACGTATAACTGTTCATAAACGTGTCTCTAAACAGACTATTCTGCTTGCGAATAATGTAGTAATAAGTATTTTAATTGAAATACAAGCTCGAATATTATAATTAGCGTCTATTTCCTCAAAACTTTAAGTATCACCACTACATCTATGGAAATTAATACATAATCCCTTGAGACTACTTAATGATACCCTTATCGATACTCCGTTAGGCTAGAAAGTATATCTTAAATTCTGTGACCCTTCATTTTTAAATTCTTTCGTGGGAAAACTGTGTGACTGGAGATACTAATTTCCTGTGAGAAACAGCTTATTGCCACTACTCCCTAGTGTAGTTTGTATTATGACTTCCCTATCGGATCTTTATCTTACTACTTTTGGTTTTAGCGCTTTTAAAATGACCTGTTTGGCATGGTATGACCTTAAATGGTGATATCATGCCCTCATTTTTGCCATCTTTATCTTTCTTCCCACCGGCTGGATCAATTCATCTTCTTAAACAGATTGTTATAAGTAAATCGGCTCCAACTTTCGTCGCAGCGAAATATCAAACTGAGCTAGATTCAAAGATAGCTTTTATCCCACCAAAAATTACAGATGGAAGCTGGCTGCGCTTGCATAAGGTCTTGGAAATGGTTAGTAAAGTCGCTTGTGGCGTCGCTAAACGTCCCACTTATGTAAGCTATGGGTTTCTACAGGGACCTTGTGAGTGAAACAATCGGAAAAATTGATGGGACGCTATTCAATAGCATCCAAGGGTTTTTCTATGTGCAGTTCAGTTGACCTGCTTCCCCAGCAACATAGACCAGACTGTCCTACACTCCCTAGCCGTTGACAACCTATCCACTTGACAAGGGGGTAGTTCTAAAAGAACCCTATCTTTTAAAGCTGCGCAAGTCACTTCGCCCGGGTAAATTGTCACCTACTCTTTTTAAGGGTGACGACAAACTTTGATCATTAGATTGAGTTGTTTGGCAAGGCTTTGTAAATAGAGTTCATTTCAGCACTTTGGAATGAGGTGATAGTCGTCAACATCTTTAAAAAAAGTATGTCATCAGTGCAGTAACTTTCGGCAACAGATATAGTCTATCACGTTCGACTTATTGGCTCTCATCATACTTCACAGACTGTCCAAATCCCATAAAAGATTGACTGATGAAAAGCAGGCTGTTTTTTGTGTGATCGTGGATGCATCGACCTCATCTTCACCCTCCACAAATGTTAGAGCACCGTCATCCTTATTTCAGGTGAACAATCTTTATGCTTTTTGATATCAGGAATACCTTCGATTCGTTGGATAGGAATGTATTCTAATCTTGTCCGTCAAAAAGGGGTGCTCCTGAGAAGTTTATTGACATCTTGTGTGGTCTTTATACAAACATCTTAGGCAGAATGAATACATATAACCACCTCCCCCTTTGTTTCATTCCATAAGTGGAGTTTTGCGGGGTTGACTAGTTTCATTACACACCCCCAACTTTGCCATCAATGATATTCTAAAAACAGCTTTGATGGAACTAGGAAGTTGTTAATGATGGCCTGAATGTGTTACCTAGAAAAACATTTTTCGATCTTGAGTATTCGAATGATACTGGATTACTTTATGACAATATGTGCTATCCTTACTTCATCTTGTAATCAATGTCAATTGGTATGCTTTGCACCTTCTAAGTGCAAAGCACTTTCATAAGACTGGCAGAAGCCCTGTGCCTACAATCACTCCCGGCGATATTGCGTCATAATTAAGCTAAATGTTTGTGTACCTAGCTAGGCGTGTGAGTGCTGGTGATTGTATGAGTGGTAGTAAAAGCCAGAGTGGCTTATGGGAACCCAGGTTGTCTTTGATGCAGTCGCGTTTTTAGTTTCTCTGTAAAGGATCGGGTTTAAAGCGATTCAGTGAGGGAGAGAGAATCTGGCCTCTCTAAATTGAGAATGTTTGGCGTCGGTCTTCTTTGTCTCATAAGAATTGATGACGTTTTCCGACAACATTTGTTAGTATTCTTTAGGTTCGGCAAAGCCCTGGAGCACGGTGACAACGACTCAGTTGGCGTCATCACCTTGAAATGTCGGTTTCAGTAGCTTAGTCACACGGCACAAATGTCATCCCAAAGACTTCCACATCATCCATTATTTGCCGACTCTGGAACTAGTCGGAAAAAGCGAGATGGTCAGTTTATGGCATGGTGCTGCGGTATGAAAGGAAGCTATGTCAGGTTGGCGTCTGTCTATCCATCGTAAATCCTGATTGGGGTCTGATAGGCAGTGCAACCTAGTGACTTAGAATATTATCAGTCAATGCCTGGGACAGAAGCCAAAGAATGACGATCCTGTTGTAATCCTCCTTTAAATTCGTAAAATAATGAAAAGAAATCACTTAAGTTGGAGGATTTTTTTGTTTGTATTGTTAGCTTAACTGTATTTTCTATCATATACTATTTTTGTTCAATTATTTTAACTATTTTTCTTCTCTCTCGTCACTGTTATTACCACGCTTTAAGTGGCGTATTTTATATTCGCTGCCCAATGTTGTTCTTAAATAAATGTAATTGATAAATAATAGTGTGTACTGTATGGCTAGACGAATCGTTGTAATTTGACTGCATCACAAGTTTACTAGATAATTATCACTAATTCTGGCTTATTGGTCTCATTTATCGTGGTAGTGATATAATGAAATTGAAGATTTTACGGTAAAATTTAGACCAAGTTATTGCTAGCATTTTATATTTGTTTGTTTTTCACTAAGAAGTAAGTAGTTTTTATTAACCATCTACTCATATATCTTGCTTTCATTTGTTTATTGGTTTTTGTATACATTCTCTTGGAATAAAAGTTTCATTCTGTTTAAGGGGAAGTATGGTGATCTAAACAGCAATCTTGTGTCGTTTGGACCTTGTCAAACACCTACACTTGGATTTTGCGTAAAACGACACGATCAAATCCAATCATTTAAACCAGAAACATTTTGGCGGATAAAGGTAACTAAAAACGTTGTGTTCATAGTTTATAACCATGAATGTTTAGCCAACTTTTATAATGTGGCAGAAAATTTTAAATTCTGTCATATATTTTCTCTAGGACTAGTTGATAATCGGTCTCACTATTTATTCCCTATCGAGACTTGGGTTTACTTACTTATTCTATATCTCTATCTGTATAACTATGTGCAGTAAATAAACAGTAATTTTATATTGCGTTCATTGATGATTTGGACCTTTGTCTTCCTATTCACATTAAGTATTAATATGTCACTTATAGTTCCCTTTGTTTATATTTTGGATACTAATGTGTATTTTTCATTTGATTGCGTAACTACTTGAGCTGTTGACTTAGCGTTGGTCACATTACTTTAACATTAGAAAAATTGTATTTTATTCGGCCACTTATCTGATCATTTAAATTTACATCTTCCACTGATTAAGTATAAGGTGAGATACATCCTATTAATAATAGTTTTACCACTTTATTTTCCGGTTATTGGGTCGTGGATTCATTAAAAGTTTTGTAACTATCAAGGTTTGTGCTATTATGTCGCGTTATCAATACTGATATTAGATGAGTTTCAAAGGTGGTATTGTATGACTTCACATTAAGTCATGTTTATCACCTTTCTATCAATTGTCAGTTTATGCAAGTCATAGATATCAAATTTCAGTTTTGATTAAATGATTCGAACCTTTATTCTTGCTATCACTAGTAATACACCTGTCATTAGGTCTATTTATATTATCACTTTCGTTGTTATCATAGGCTCATAAACTGTCTTGATTAGTTTGATATTTTCATGTCAGTCAGTCATACACTACGTAGAACCTGGGACATGTGTATATTGGTTCAAGTTACCATACCCCATTGGCATAGCTCAATAAAATTATCAGAACTAATCCCAGAATAGTAGAGATGGTAATAGTAATAATAGTAATAGAAAAGATTATTGATCCAAGTTACAATTCGAGAAAAAAAATAGTGCAATAATAATAGAACCTATGAGGAATTCAGAAACTTGGGATCTAAGGGAAGATAAAAAGTGAATTTACCTGCTCCACTAATTACGCGAACCCCGAATATACATACAAATATTATTACATATTAAAGTAAGTCCTGATAACAATCTAATTTAAAACAATGTTGTTCGCTCATATATGTTGTGCTAAATCAAGTATCTGAAGATTTATCCTGTCTTAATAAAATCATTTTTAGTTTTTCACCTCCGATTCATTTTTGTTAATAATAATAATGTGCTATCTTTCGATCATAGGTCTCGGGTGTAGATGATACCGGGGGTGTATTAGAAATGTCATGGAATCGTGATCGTATCTTTGATAAAGAAGCTGCTTCAGTATTTTTAGGTCGAGTCAAGTCTTCCAAAACAGCAGAGTAAGTCAACGAAACCAAAACTTTTTGTTTGTAAGAAAACAGCTATGATGTGAAAGATTCACAATGAAAGTAGTAAACTGATTTATATCAAAGATTATTATATGATGATTGGTTAGGTAACTTGGTTATTGCGTTGTTCCTTTTCTTCATAATCAGTGATAAAATAATTAATCAAGTGTATCAAGTACATGAATTCTACTGTAGTTGTCACTTCACGTTGTTGCCAGTCTGATAACTATTTGATTATGTATGTTTCTTCAAAACTGTTTCTTTCTATTTAAAAACTGCACGAAAATATGCATTTAAAATGCTTCTGTACGCTCGTTCCGATGGCAAAGGCTTATATGCTTAACGTGAATTTTGAGTATTCTGGAATAATTTTTGATCATGAATACATATGTACGAAAATGTCTGAAACAGTAAAAAAATTAAAATTATCTTGCTTCCCATCAATATTTTTGTTTTATAATTAATTTCTGTGTTTTTATAACTTTAAACAGAAAATGATAATAAACCATCAAATAGTTTTTTTAAGTTTTGATGCTTCAGTTTCATTATGGGAGTTATGATAAACGGTAAATATTCCTGACACAAAATTTCCATATATTGTCACGTAGTTTTATGCCATATATATGCTCAAGTTCTTTCATGAAGCTATAGTCTCAGTTCGTTTACGTAGTCGAAATTACTGAAATTTTAAAGATCTAAAGATCAGTGATTTAAATTGATTATTTTTTTGAAAGTTGGTGTTGTGACTGAAAAATGGTTGTCTGTAACTTGCTTTGTTACGACTTTAAGAAAGTTAGTTTAGAACTCATTTCGAAAACGTTTGTTTACGATTAAATGAATAAGCGTAAGGACGGCTTTTCATATGCAGAAAAGTATTTATTTCTCATTTTCTCATGAATCGAATTGTTTTAATGTATATTTTATTCAAATAATTGTACTTAAACGGTCATACGTCATGCATATGCGTTTATTTTACTGCCTTTTAAGATTTGTAAACTTAACTCTATTTTAGAGTCGTCCAGGTATCTGTCAAACAGAAAATTAAACCACGTCCACAAGGTTTGAATACAGTAGAAATGTTACGAGTTGCCAGTGCTGGTTTAGGTATTGGACCACATAGTGCAATGGCTATTGCGGAACGATTGTATACATCTGGTTACATAAACTATCCACGTACTGAGACAACAGCTTATCCAAACACATTTGATTTACGTGGATTACTACAGCAGCAGGTATGATACGTTTTGTTAGTATTCTTCAAAAAAGCCACCAAGATAGTTTTCTTACGTTTATTACTCTTGGAAATATGTTATCTAAAATTGAGTATATATGCAAACAATCATTTGAGACATTTTAGATTTTAAAGAATTGGAATTGTGAATAAATTCAAGTTCGATGTGAACCTCAACATGATTCGGAGCAGTAGCTTCAGTGACTAACTCTTTTACTTTACTATATTTGATTAACTAACCAATTATTATAGTTTTAAGATTGAGTTTTCACTTGATGTTTTTTGGGTATGTTTATTGTAACAATATTCCAGCCTGTCTCAAATTCAACGTCTATCATTAAAGTATTCTTCATTGTCACAAACTGATCATGTAAGATTAATATAGTAATCATAATTATTTTACACCCTAGTCCAATTAATGTAACCTAGTTACTAGGTGAAAACTTCCGAACTCAGTATTACATTACATTTTGTTCTTGTTTGATGGCTGCCAAAACTAAAGTAGGTGAAGTGAGACTCATCTATACTTATTTGCAAGAAACTAAGAAATTTTCCAAAAAGGAGATTATAATTGCCTGTTACAGTACTTTCCTACTTTTCTTGAAATTTTAGATTCTCACATGAGATGACATTAGTACAGTACAAAGTTAATAGGTTTTACTGTATTTAGATTGATAGAAATCTTGAACGTTGTCGGTCATAGTTATTATCCATCATTCTCACTTCAACCAGATAATAAGTTCAAGCAATCGCAACCATTAAGACGAATAAATCATTTGAATCACGAACTGAATTTTAACCACATAAATATTAAAGATCAGAGAACATTGGAACACAGTCGTCATTCCACGCTGCTGAGTTCCACAATTCTAAGTAAACAGTTCTCCATCCCTCCCTCATTTCCTGTGTTTGTCCAGTTAAAACCCGATTTCTAGGATATTTATCTGCACGCTGAACGATCTTCCTAATGCTTCCATCCTAAGAAATACATAAGTTTAGTTATAATTAATGAGTTTTATTTTGCATGTAATTTCATGCTAAAATTTTAATTCACCACCTCTGTTTTTCTCTACATCGATTTAATCATTTTAGGTGAATAATCCAGTTTGGGGAGATCTAGCTCGTGAAATTCTAAAAAGTGGGTTAACTCCACCTCGTGCTGGTCATGATGCAGGTGACCATCCTCCTATTGCTCCTATGCGTTTTGCGTCTTCCCAAGAACTGGGACATGAAGCCTATCGATTGTATGAATACATTACACAACATTTTATCGCTACTGTAAGTGATTTTGTGTTAAAAAAATTTTAAATGCTCATTTATCAGTGTAGATGTATGTTTTTAGAATACCAAGAAGACATATTGCGTCCGAAGTCGAAAGTGACATTTTTTAATTCTTCATTGATATCAGTCCATGGTGAAAAATTTCTTCGAACTAAGCTATTCAGTCAGTTACTGAAATTTATTAGAACTGAATTACTTAGTAACTGTTACATACTGTACACTAGTTTTTTTCATTAGCGTTGAAAGCTTTATATTAAACATCGTAGGTGCATTTCACATAACTTGGTTGGCAAATTTTGATCGGTTTTGAAAAAGTAAATTGTGTAATTAATTACTTCCATGTAGTCTAAGATGTTTTTACTGTAAGTTATTGTGAATTATGTGGGCGCTTTTAGAATGAAAATGAAGGATTCAAATTTCCACAATTAAATTACAAAAATAAGTTCACCAAGTGATTTCTGGATATCTAGCATCACCAACACGATGATACTCTTTTTTCCCTACTTACCTTGAAGATTATGCCCGATTGTTGTTATGAACAAACACAAGTGACCGTATCCGTTGGTGATGGTGAATTGTTTACAATAAGTGGATTAAAAGTAGTTGACCCTGGTTTTACACGAATATTAACTTGGCAAGCAATAGAAGATAAATCGTTGCCTCTAACACTTCTTAATCAAGGCTATCAATTCAATTTACTTGAAGAACCAAGTTTAGTTGAAGGACAAACTGGTCCACCAGACTATTTAACTGAGGCTGAATTAATTACCGCTATGGAACGTCATGGGATTGGAACTGATGCATCAATCCCAACACATATAGAAAATATCGTTCAAAGAGGTTACGTTCAAGTAAATTCTCTATTATAATGATGATATTATGTATTTGTTTTTTCGTATTTATGTCCATATTATTTTTGTGTCCCTAAATAGAGATAATTCGACTCAGCAAATGTCAACACTTAAAACAATAACCAAACTGTTTATTTATTTATATAGAGGCAAATTAATTGCGAGGTAGATTAGATAACTAACCAAAGTAAGGATTAAAATTAATAATTAATTAATATAGACAATTCGAGACTTAGGGTAGATGTGTATCAGTTCAGGGTACTACATTTTCTCACCAATACCGTGAGAGAGGAGATCAATAATATGAAATGAACTTAGCAATAAGACTAAGAGGCTGATAAATACGCAAGGTAATTGAGTCACTGTTAACATTTTAGGACCATATTACTCATTACCTCTGACTACCCTTCAGTTAGTCATAGTCTGTATGTGGTATATGCTACTTATGTTGAAAGATATAAGTAGTATGTAACACCAATTGGAAGTGGAAAACCTGGCAGCAGAAGGCTATGAAGGTCAACTTGAAGAAAACAGAAACAGAAATAAAAAAATAATTGTGGATCAGAAAAATCATACTGAATGTGAAGGTTAGGTGATGAAATTTTGCAAATGAATTATTCAATGTATGCTCCTTATATTTTACCAAGATATTCTGTAATTTTGTATTAAACAATAAATTGGTGTTTTCCATCTGAGTTCTTGTTCCCTGTGTTTACAGAAGCTGGCACGAGTGTATCGCTGTTCAAATTGTCACACTAATATATAGATGGCAATTGTTCATCACTATATATATCTTGATATTGTTCAACATGAAATTATCTTAGCTTATATAGCACATAGCTACTGGGGTCTAACCCTAGATTCTCTACAACCATCATGTATATATTTAGCTGAATACTAGGATTAACTTCAGGCTTTCATGTAAAAAACTTCGCTTATAAATCAGCATTATCTTAATCCACTAAGATTAACCATGTTGATTCGTACTGTTTTTATGTGAAAATTTAATCAAGTAGACATCTGCTTAATTATTTACATAATTATAAGTCAATTATATATTTATTTATTTACTTAAACAAATGGAAATGAAATAGAGAATAAATCTTTAACTTACTAATTTTCTATTTATTGATTAAACGTTCAACGTTAGCAGATAAAATACAACAAATTACTGACTAAATCTTTTTAATTAATATTTAGTGTAAATTTTCCGATTTTGCATTTCATTCTGATTTGATAGTAATGATAATGTTTTAATGTCTAATAATATAGAACCTATATTGACTGAAAAATACAGGATTATCATGAAATAGCAGAGACTATGATTTTAAGTTATCCTCTACATTCAATTCATAATTGAGAGTTTATTCACTTTAAAACAAGTGTTCAATGCTAAGCTGTCTAGTTTTAATAGAAGGCCTTATACTCTCATGAAATAACATGCTTTATTAATTTACTTTCTCAATTATTAACCATATAAAAGCACTTAATTTTACTGTAGACTACTTTTAAACATTAAATAGACTAACAATCGTATTAGTTTCAATGTTTTATAATTTTCACTTTATGGTATTCATTAACTTGAAATGTGTTACTTACTTAGTTACGAGAAATCAATGTAGAAATTATTTTTTGTTATTTTTTGAAGAATTTTCATTATTTTTTATTTTCTCGAGGTATAACTTTTTTATTTTCGAAATTATTGTTTTCTCGTTCATTCTATTCCTATCTATATGTTTGTGTGTGTGTGTTCTTTCTTAATCAAACACAGCTTCTTTCGGGGCGAAAACTACAACCTACACCATTAGGGATTGTACTTGTTCATGGTTATCAAACAATCGATGCCGAACTTGTCCTACCACATATGCGTAGAGCTGTTGAAGAACAATTAAATCATATTGCTCGTGGTCATGCTAAATATGATTTAGTATTACAATTTGTTTTAGCTATTTTTGCCGCAAAATATCGTTATTTTGTTGAACATATCAATGGTATGGATCAATTGTTTGAAGTTTCATTCACTACTCTAGCTAGTTCAGGTAAACCTTTATCCAGGTAAGTGGACAACAACTCACTTGATTTTTTTAAAATTCAGTAGTTTTGACTTTATTTGCAAGATGGACTTTTCTAAAACATTAACAGATGAGAAAACTTTATCGAAACAAAAACTATATGATAGTACTTGTTTATGATACATCAAGATACATGAAACAAAATCACTATTATCACTGATCGTTGTTATGATCCCAGGGTTTAAAGATTAAAGGTATTATATACGAGTGCCACTAAAATAATATAGGCATTCAATAAATTATGTTTTATAGAGTCATTTTTTGTTTATTCTCATTTCTGATTTTTTTTATTCATAAGTAAGGTTGTTATTTGCAAGCGTATGGCTGAATTCGTGTTTAACATACATACTGTAACTTTCGACTAATTCTAGTAACTATTAAACCTAGACGTTTGCAATTCATTTTATGGAACCCAGAAGAATTTGTTAAGTTGATATATGAACCTTTATTAGGACGTAGTTACATAGTCTAATTATAGGTTATAAAATTGACAATAAGAAAAATTAACTACGGTTCACTAAAGACATTGTATATTAAACATGTACAATTTTGTTTGAATTTGGTTAACTATAGACAAATATTTGAAGGTGTGGCTCATTAATTTCTATACTTGACCTTCAGCTCCATTGCACTTGACGAACCTGAGCCGACTAACTGGAATCATTACCTGTAACATAGTTGGTGGATCTTAGATTTTAATATACACATGTATACATGACTGTTGGAAATTAAATGGAATATAGATTTCTTACTTAAGTTAGTTCCTACCAAAAAAAAGCATAAAATCAATCTTGATGTATAGTATCACTCGATGTGAATGATTGTGTCTGGATTCTTCAGCAAAACCTTAAATGCTATTGCTCTTGTGTGCATAATGTGCACGTTGTTTATCAAAGAAATTAGGTTGTTTACATGAAATATTAAATACATTAATCACTAATCATTTCAAAGTAAATAATTGAAAATCTTAAGTTATACTCTAATTGGAATATGAATCAGATAAACGTTAGATCCTTGAAATAGATTTGAATCTGTCAAGAATTTTATGTGTTGAAAATTTTTATTTTCAATGGTAATATAATTATTTTAACCGGAGATATTTCTTCTTCACCAAATCAATTCAACTTCAGGTAGTCAGTTACTAACTAGGCAACTATATGAATCCCTATACAAACGTCTATAACTATTGTGAATTAACTTTATGAGAATTGAAATTCAGGAATTTTTTTATTTCAGATAACTCCAGACAGTGTACGTTTTCATTCATTCAACTGTTTGATAACTTGATTTTCCTTTTTCTGTGTTATTACTATGCATTTTCAAACTTTAGATGTGGAAAATGTCATCGATACTTAAAGTTTATAGATTCTCGACCACAACGACTTCATTGTTCAATTTGTAATGAAACATATACATTACCACAGAATGGTACAATTCGACCCTATAAAACCGAAAAGTGTCCTTTAGATAAATTTGAACTACTATGCTATACTCAAGGCGGTAAAGGAAGAGTAGGTTTCTTTTTTATTATTTACTGTATTAATTTATAATTCCGGTTATTCTATAATAATTGAAAATACATTGACTTGGTGGTTACCATTACTTATCAAGATGATCCAGCCAAGCTATACTGGCTCCAACATTCTTTTCTTTAAGTGTTATCATTCTATACAGGTCAGCTGAAGAAGCAACGTCTTCAGTGATACTGCCTCTCAACAATGGAAGTAGGGAGGCCCTATATTGAAACAGAATATAAACTATAGAGAACTGAATTCTTGTTTTGGAACACCGACTGGACACCATGACCTCTAGGTCTCATAATGAACTGTTCACAACCATGAGATCAGTAGGTGATGTTTTTCAGTGTTAATTTCGTGTTATATTTTCTTAGTCAGTCAGTCGGCTACAACGTAGGACCAGGCACATATATGCATCGGTTCAAGTTGCCATACCGCATTATCACAGCAAGATGAACACCGGATTCATAGAAGTAGTTAATTCAGTGGTGGTGATATATAAAAGAAAGTTTGTGTATAAGGATATGGTACAGGAAGAAAGAATTAGTTCGTAGAAAAAAGATATGAAGCGATTTTGATCTCTTAGTTTAAGGGAAGACAGAGAGTGTATACACCTACGCCATTGTGATCGATTCTGAGCCATGTCACCAAGAGTCTCCAACCATTGGTTACGATAGTCACGCGTACCCCAACCAAGTAGTCTGCATCTACCAACATGGCTCAGACTAGAAGTTAATGACTTTATGAACTGATGCCACGTTTTGGTTTGGCCGCCCCTAACCTTCTTCCAACCATCCCCAACACCGGTTAGCATTGCATGTCGTGATAATCGGTGCTCAGGCATACGCAACACGTGGCTCGACCATCTCAGTCGATAACGGTTTACAACCTCATCAACTGATTTACCATCATTCCCTAATACCTTGCGTCTAACCTCACTATTACTTACCTGGTGATCCCAGCAGATGTCAGCAATATTTCTAAGACATCTGTGGTCAAATGCTAGTAGCTTACGATTATCTTTAACTTTTAATGGCCATGTTTCTCAGCCGTAAAGTAGGACAGAACGAACTGCCGCGCAGTATACTCGTCCCTTAATTGATAGATGGATATCTCGCCTTCGCCATAGGTGACGTAAGTTGGCAAAAGCCAAACGAACTTTTCGAATCCGTGTTGAGATTTCGTCAGACACCAACCCATTAGGGCTGATCAGACTTCCAAGATAAGTGAAGTTGTCAACGCGTTCGACTTCTTCACTCCCTATCCTTAGTTCAGGTGTTGACGCAGACCAGTCCTGAAGCATCAGCTTGCATGTAGAGGGAGAGAAGCGCATTCCAAACATTTTGGCATTGTTGCTTAGTGCTACCAAAAGACTGCATTTTGTCCGCGTCTTCACCAAACAGGACTATGTCATCCGCGTATTCTAAGTCGATAAGTGGACCTCCTGGTAGGAAATCAATAATCGAGAATTCAGTAGACGAGAATGTTATTTCCATCAGTAGGTCTATGATGAAGTTAAACAGAAATGGAGGAAGTGGACAACCTTGACGGACACCACTTGAGGTTGCAAAAGCAGATGACAGTTCGCCATAAGCTCTGACTCGACTGTTAGTGTTCGAGTAGAGAGCCTTCTGTGGTACGCATTTCAATGACAGACACTGCCACAGAATCTCGCGGTCTACGGAGTCAAATGCTGCTTTTAAGTCGAGAAAGACCACCATTGTTGGACGTCGATAAATATGCCTGTGTTCTAGAACCTGACGAATGGTGAATGTGTGGTCGATGCAACCACGACCAGGTTTGAAGTCAGCCTGATTTTCTCGTGTTTGCAGTTCATGAGTCTTAGTTAGGCGTCTGATAATTATTGACGCTAGTATTTTATGTATATCTTAAGTTGTCGGTAGTGCACATTGTAATACGCCGTGAAAATTTAATTTTTTACTGTTAGAATGTTTGTTATGTACATTATATACATCTTTTATATATATATACCAATGATTATATCGTTTTGATATTGTGGGTTGTCAATCAATAAACATAGTTTAATTTGTTGAGGGAATTTTTATGCCATATAAATGAAAATTAGTTGCGTAAGGTGAAATTCTTAATCGTATTTTTCCACAAATACTTTATGTAAAAGCCTTTAGGAGTTTGGAAATTTATTTCATGTTTAACCTTATTATGGCATTCTATTGTTTCTTTAATCTCTGTACAGGGGATTTGAGGTACGTTTTCGACTTTAGATAGTTTGTACACTGTAATTAGTGTTCAGGTCCTGAGAAGATGAAGATTTGTAACTTCAATGAATAGTTTTGGTTGTGTTGTCTACTTTGAGAAGTTTGTTTAAAGTAGGTCGTAATGATACTTATAAAAACAATGAAAGTTTCGCAATTATACCATACAGGTCGGAGAACACGGCACCATTAAAAGTTCTCACAATGATGATGAAGCTTTCGACTGGGTTTTCTGTCCCGGATAGTTTGGTTTCGAAACTTTCATTTACTTTTTGAATAACACCAGTACAAACTGCATACAGAAATAAACTATTCGAATTTCTAGATATATAACTAATAAATTGTTCTGTCAACATCGATCGTGATTGGTTGTTGTTTATCCTTTTCTTTATATGTATCTCGATTATCATCCCTTTTGATTTTAAAGTTGCTCATAATTTTTACGATTGGTTGACAAAATGGATTGATTTTTTCGTGTTAATTGATTGCTTATTGAACTGAGTGCCAAGCTTCTAAAAATTCTTTTATCTTCTCAGTATTCTCTCTGTCCGAGATTTCAACATTTTCCCAGTTGAACGTGTCCATAATTGTCTACCTGCATTAAAGCTAGTTGACGTTCATGCCGATGTATATGAAGAGAGTGGCCACTTTCTTCGATATATTGTTTCTCGCAATTGAAGCATTGTACTTTTTAGGTGCTATTTCATATTTTAGTTTGAATAAGATTGATTGCAGTGATTTTCGTTGTTTATGCACTACGCCTATTTCAAACAGTATCAATAATCTTTGCTGTAGTTCCTGATGTATTCTTCATATATAATATGAATATAGGTGACTTTCTAGACATTGAGATCCACCTGTTTTATGGTCCAATTGTGTGTATTCATACATAAATTAGGGATTCGCATATCGAAATTGTTACTCCTATTTAGTTATACCAAATAACGATAATATTTATATTTCCTAATTTTTATCCATATAACTTTTTATGCCAACAGTTTAGCTTATATTCTATTCCACTGTTAATACAGTTATTCTTTGAAAAAAAGAGATAATAACCAGACAAAGAGGGAATAACATGGAGTTTATATTGCCATAGAAGCGAATATAGTGGAATTAGTATATTTTATTAAATCTAGATTTTTGTTTCAATAACTAGAATTTTAATTTTTGATCTCTTATGAAGTTCTTTTTTTATTCTATTATTTGTTTATTAATACATAGATTGAAAATAATTTGTGTAACATCTAGTCTAACAAAAAATAATTTATTTCGTTTATTTATTTACATAGAATATGGTTTTTTGTCCATATTGTTTTTCTCATCCACCATTTGAATCAATGCCAAAATTATCCGGTTGTAATAGATGCCCTCATCCAACATGTCCACAATCAATGGAATCATTAGGAGTTGATGCATGTCCTGATTGTCCATATGGTATACTAGTTTTAGATGATTCTAATGCACCAAAATATCGTTTAAATTGTAATAGGTTAGTTTATTATTATTACGTTATTCTTTTTTTTCTAAAAAAGAATCATAATCTCACCTAAATAACACAAATTTCATTCTTATGAAGTTGGGATTTATCTTGATGATTATTTCATTATTCATAGTTTTGAATCATTCACTACATGATGAAGTTTCACTGCATAACTTTCAGAAAACATATGATAGTTCATAAATTATGGAAATAGTTATTCTTATTCTACAAGTATAAAATATATCTATATCTGAAAAATTTTATTTGTCTATTTTTTAAATACTCTTTTTCATTGGGAAAAAGCCAAGATGATCGTTTCTAACGTGTATATACTTGTATATGATTTTTAACAACTATTCATTGTCTTACAAATTAATACTATCAGAATATACATCAATTTTATGCGAAATTCCAATGAACTACTATTTAGATTTAACCGAAAACTGATTCTCATATTATAATATCAAATAGATAGGCTTTTAAAGTTATATTAAGAAATTGAATGGCTTAGTTAGATTCATTTGTTTTCTTAACTATTCCTATTAGTCATTAAAATAATAGAATTTTATGTCTTTGAAATAGTATTACGAATTAGTAGTAATGATACAAATAAAGCGGCAACATGTTAACGAGACAAACTAATGAAAAATGAAGTAAAAATTTGAAGTCAGCAGTAGTGTTATTTTATGGTATAAAATCACAAAGTGAAACGTTTTAAGTATACCATAATTGAAATATTTATTTGTACACAGGGTTAAAACTTCATAAATAACAATCATCTCATTCATCATCATATAAAATACTGTGGATGACTAGGTCGACGATTATTTGCTTGTTCAGCATGTTTTTTTTTGTAAATAAAATGTAGAGTAGATTCTGTTAAATTTGAATGCAATTTAAACGTTACCCTTACATTATTATGTCTATATGGGTTCAGTAATCCTCAAAGTGGATAGTCAAAACTTAACGGTTTGATTTGGTTTACTTTTAAGGATGTAGTACGTGTCAATTTTATTTTCATGATAATTAGTTAATAGATGATAAATCTAAAATTTTTAAAATAAACAACCACGGATGGCCATAGTTGATTACATAAACCTTAGACACATTCTACCATTCAAATGAAATTAAATAACTAGATTTCGACACTTGGTCTTGGAATAATATCGTTCTTATGGATGAGTTCTTTCTAGTTTCAATGAATAACCTGATCTGTCGACTCCTATAATATATTTCTACTATCCTCAAAATTGTTAAACTCGCTGCAATATTTGATTGCAAATTGTTCTAGAAGTCATACAATTGATTGAGCCAATCCATTGAAGAAATATGCTTCTATGTTGATGAACTTCGAATGTATGTTTTTGATTGAATTGATAACTGAACAGTTTTCTGTCATAGACTTTCTTGTTAATTCCAGTGTATTCATAAATCAATAGAAGTAATAAATAAGCTTAGTAATAGTACACAACATCCAAATGTATTATTCGAAGTATTTGAAATCATTCAACTAAAACCGTGGATACAATTTTTGTGGATATCGGTTACGGATATTTACATGTTCCTGCATGAATTCAAGTTTTTGTTTCTTAAAGCTGCAGTTATAGACATATTTTTTTAACTACGTCACTTTTGATTGTGTGGATTTTACAGGAGTTACTTTTAGATGTTGTGTACGTAAGTTTAAGAAGTAATTTCAGTGTTTTTTGATGAATGCTTTTTCCCCATTTTCCACTAAAAACTTTTATTGTTTCGACTTATTGTATGCGCACTGTTTTTGTTCTACTATAGATGTCCAACATTCCTGTCTATTTCTGACGCTGTAAAAAGTATGTCTGTCAAAAATGTTAGTTGTTCAGTATGTACAGCTATGCATCTTAACTTGAGATTTGATCCGGTATGTACAAACTGTATTTTTAGAAAAAAATATTTTATCTGGTTTTACTCATTTGTTTAACATAAACAAAACTCGATCATTTTAAATCTCCCTTAATTTAGATATAATTTGTTGACTAGTCTGTCTATGCCTTTTTGTGTAGTATGTTTAAAAAGTACATTAATTCATCAGCAACGTTTGTTGAGTCCATTTGTTTATACTAATAATTGGCTTCGATATTAGAAGAAATGTAAGATATACGCTCAAAAAAAAATTGTTCAAAATATGAAACAAATTGTAAGTATCGTCACAAGTTTAGCCGTGGTTGATCATAGCTGTTAGGCCTACTCATCTGTGAAGTTGCACTAGTTTTGCTGATAATAATTACTACAAAGATATTCTTAAGTGAGAACTTCTCGTATGATTACTATTGGTCTACGGTATTATTGTAGTTATAAATTATCAGGTTTCCGTATTGCATTTAACCTGCGATTCGCAATTTAATAATAGTTAGTCTTTTTCTACCATTCGAGAAAGAGCAACTAGACGAAAGTTCAACAAATAATCATGGACGGTTTTTTTAAAATTTAAAATACATATCCGCTCTAGTTGCTAAGATGGTATCAACGGGCATATATATATATATATATATATATATATATATATATATATTTGGTACCGATTACCCTTCTTTTGCTTATTGTAAAAATCTCACTGTTACTGTCTGAACGATAGTTGAAATAAAAGTGTGTATTTCAGTCAACTGAAATTGGACTAAGCTGAGTAAGATACTTGTGTGACAAATTTCATTAAATAAGAAAAATATCGCTGCTATTTTACTAGGCCTATGTATGCTGAGCCTGAATAGATAATTGCGTAGGTACTAAATTTCATCATGTAATAAATTGAACTGATAATATGATTGTCATCATTTCAAATACTCCTATTTTGTTTCCAGGGTAAAGTCCCTAATTCAAGCGAAGATAATTCTGAAAAAATTAGCACTACATTCTCTGGATGTGCATTCTGTACAGAATCATTATGTTCATTATTCACTATTGTAAGAAAAAAGGAAGCACCGAATAATCCTACTGTCAATTTACGTGGTTCACGCCATCATTCTGGAACCCATCAACGAGGTGGTCGACGAGGGCGGAGTTTTCGATAAAATTTACAGACTATGAACTATATTGATGTCTGCTAACTGATACTTATGAACGTAATTCGTGTACATTGATAGTTGTGATCATATTACACTGTACATAGTTATCGTCTTTGTTAATATAAATATATACATATACTAAAGCAGTTAATAATTTTAATATTGTAAAAAGAACAGATGTAAATAAGCTGTCAAGATACATTCAGAAGCTGATATAAATAAACAAGCTAAATAGTCTATGCCTATACCTATAAGGTTCATTTAAATTCCGAATAACTTCTCAAACATAATTTATTAACCACATAAATGAATTATTTTTTATACTAGTTTTATTTTTAAAATACACAACTGGGAACCTTAATATGAGGAAATGAGTTTTTAGTGACAAAACCTTATTTCCATAATTGTTAATTGATTATTTTTTTCATTTGTACTTCGGGTTATATATTTATAATCCCTGGTTTTCAGCATACCACTTTTAACCAAAAACATCTTGATGTTATACATCACAGAGACTATTCCGTTAAATTATTGTTATTAAAAGCATAAAATTTGTACTGTCAATTTGTAGATTACTTGATTGATCCACATTAAATTGCGCAGTTACCAAACATTTACGTGGTATTTTAATAAAAGCTCAACATTTTGCAAGTAAATTTCAGAATTTTTAAGGTTATTAAGATGTACACTACTACATGTTTTGTACGATAGAGTATTAAAAATGGTTATAAGCTTTTCAAAAATACACCTTTCCACAAAATAATTCAGTAGATCTGCATCTAATGATTTCAAGTAAGGAACCTTTTTCTGCAGTAGAAAAGACTGAATCGACAGATATTGAAATAAGTGGCTGATGTTGGACGACGTTTATGTGTTTTAAGCACTTGAAGTTTAATCGATGGGTCGCAAGTTAGAACCATTTTAAACTTTGACTTAGAACATACAGGTGATATCACCAGCTCCCACACAAAAGTCTAACTCAGAGGGACTCGGTAAACATGTTACAATTATTTTATTTAAATGACCGATTATGAATTTATAATCAAACCAAAACATTCACCCACTCATTAATAACTTTCTTTTGGATTTGGGGTAGTGTTTGCAATACAATGACACTCACCATTCAGATCAATATTGTGAAACGGTTATGATATGTCAATACTATATTCTCATTTTATCCAAGCAATAGACTGTCCTTAACATTTTGTTATCTGATTATGACAATACATTTACTTTGATACTACTTCGGCATAAATGCAACTCACCCAGTCTTTTGTTAATTTGGCCCATTAATAGATTTATCTATTCAATAGAGAGTGTTTAATTTGAAGAAATGACAAACTGTATAAATCTATTATTCAACGCATAAAACAATGTTTAAAAAAAAAGAAAGTGAAAATATAAGTTAACCATTACGACCAAATTTGCTCAAACTAGGAAGGAGAAAAAATCAGTTTCATAATATTGGCAAATAAAAATGAATATAGTGACTTAGTTTAACTCATACAATAAAAAAATTACAGATCACTGGTGGGATGAATTAATGTATATGTAATCGTAAATGAAATAAAAATATAAGACAAACTGACCGCTTAAGTCTCTTTGGAAAAAGATGGCTAATTATGACATAGTTAATATTATCCATGGATGATGTTATCAAAAAAAAAGAAATCTTTTGTGAATGCTGATGGGTAGATGTCACCGTGTATTGTTCTCTAACAATGGATGGGGAGTATATATGTATTTTAAAAGGTTATGTAATGAATGAATCAAATGTAAACAAAAAAAACCCGAGCAATATTCAATGAAAAGCAGAAAATAATTTTGCATAATGCTGATTTGGTATGATAATGGTGATGAATAAATTCCTGTAACATAAAGAAAAATTCTAATTAAATATCGTAGTAGTTATATCGAATAAGTAGAGGAACATGTATCTATTATTTATAAAAAGTGTATTCTTTCAATCTAAGAAATGAATCTTTAAGGTTTTATCAATATACTGAGTTGTACTGAAAGACTTTCAAGTTTTTAAATATAAGTATTCTATAAATATATGAAAAAATATATACATATCCATGTACATACACTTTTGATTGGTAATAAAGATATAGAATAAGATGAGGAAAAACTGGTTCGTACTCCACCACGGAAACGAGGTTGGAATTCACTTCCAAATAGAATATTCATACCGATTTACTGAATTTTCCACGAGTGATGAAACCACCAATTCAGTATGGATTGCCAACTTGTAATTAAGGGAGATATACCGATTAATTGATGATCATACGTCATCTAAGGTATATATGGCATACTAAGTGTACTAACTGATTCTCTACAATAAAATACAATTTCGGCTATGGTAAGGTTATACTGAAAAACACAAATCGAAATCAATCTCTACAAAAACCAACTGTCAGGTGGGATTGTGCGAAAATCAGTAGCTGTTCATGAAACATGATAAATATTTGGAAACTGTGAATGTTATGATTAAAGATTGATCATAATAGAGTGACTGAAGTAACGTAAATATAGATGGTCCCATGTTGTACATCTTCCCATCCATTTAGATACCTCATATTCAGAACAAATGTCTTTTATACGTTTAGATTATTTTTTGAATGGGATTCTAACTAGTCTTCATAGATCTGTAGAATTATAAGTAGCAACGAATAACTCTAGCTTTCTGTGTTTAAAAGTAGAATATTATTAAAGCACATGAAGAGCTTTTTCTAGAGTCAGTGAAATTAACTCACAATCTTTTGATACTGAATCATGGGTTACAGATTCCCATTGTTCATTTTCTGATATAATTTGATTAATTTCGTCACTACGAGCCAAACAGAAATCATTCACCTAAAATGTACACAGGTGAAAAGTGTAATCAACTCTTGTTCAGTAGTTTGATACATTAAAACATATATGTACATATAATAGATTACCTACTCGTTTGTTTATCGTTAATTTCTACTGGTGATGACATCAATGAATCAAAGAAACAAAGTGAGATGTGGACATTTTAAAGAAAGTTGAAAATTATGCATATTAAGTATTTGTGCACTTAGTCTACGCTCTAAAAAGCAAACATAACACAGTACTTACGATATTCCCATACAATTGAAGAAACACGGTAGAATAATTATTAACAGAAACTTCATGACAATAGATGCTTAAGTAGTGATGATGAAATATCGTTCTTCGTCTTCGTTTTATTCAGATAGGAATAAATCTAGATAAGGGTCTAATGAAACATTCATAGATACCTTCTGGTAGCATACTTAACATAATAAAGTACTTATAATAACCAAACTACAAAACTGTTTGACTTTCCAAGAAAGTTAAAGAATGAACGAAACTGTCAATGTGATGAGCTTACAACTTAGTTTTATGTTTGCATTATGACCGATTAACCATTAATTTTATTGCATCAAAAAATAGCTATAGTTATCATTGTGACTCAAGACCTGACACGAAATCAATATCTTGATGAGATACCAGATTTCGATAGAACTACTTTGTTAGTTGTTTGCCGTACCGATTAACTTGTGGTGTGTGAAATCAACTGCAATAAACGTACAAACAACTCTAATCATTTAAATATGAAAGTACTTTCATGCAAAATGTACATAACTGTGATATGCAAATCAATGAACCGAAGGACTTGCAATTTTTCAATGAAATAAGAATTATCAACACTAATGTTATGTTCAATATGGGATTCTGGAGAATGTTGAATTTGATTGAAATCACGCCGGTTTAGTGGCCTAAAGGTCAAGCGTCAGCGCGCGAGAGTGAAGACCTTTGGTTCGGTTTCCATAATCAGGGTTGTGGATGCGCACTTGCAAAAGTCCCATACTAGGACGAAACGGCCGTCCAGTACTTTAGAGTTCTCAATAGTGATTTCAACCATGAAAATTGCTACAATCTCTGCAAAATCCCTATACTTATAATATCTTAATATTTACACAAGTTCGACCTACTTCCTGTACTGAAATACTGATTAAAACATTGATTATCTCATTTTTCTTATCAAAACTATTACACCTATCTTCTTATGAATCGATTTGTACTTTTTACCTGTTATTTGTTATTATGCCATCTATTGAATCATGAGCATCGACTCACAAACTGCCTTAACTGGTTTAATATTTTCATGTATGTATATAAATAACCCTGCATGTTACAGTAAGTTCTGTTATGATTTCGCTTTTAACGACCCAGCCACTCTTATTGTTTAGTATTCTTGCACACGAATTCACTCAATAAGTCACCAAATCAGAAGACAGTTGAACAGGAACGTAATTATATTCCAAATAAAAAGGCTGAATGAAAGTAGGAATCACAATAAAAAAACATTGGTATATTTATAATTTTCATATAAGGTGATTCTAGAGTCTTCTCTAAGTATCTGTAGTACTGATTAGTTACGAAATAGCCAATCAGAGCGCCCCGACATAATGCTGCACGAAACGCTTTAGTCCAATCTATGTCCCGCTAACAGTCTGATCACGATTTAACTGAAAATATTAATGTTCGCTTATGTGCTGTTCTAGTTTTCACATTAGGGATCTCTAACATTGTCTGATTGACTTTGAACAGGAAACTTCCAATTTTGTTTCATTCCTAACAAAGAAGTGTCAAGTAACCATATTGTAGGTCTCAACAATGTTTTGATGATACCGGTAAGCAACCTCATACGTTAATGAGTCATATTCACTAACAGATCCCAGTATTTTCTAACACCGTTTCCACTATATCGTTTCACGATATCAACATACATACAGAATTGTTTCATCGGTAAGGCTTTTCATTACTCTTCATTACAGATCGAATGGTTTGCATAACAGTCACAGGTTAACTCCACACACAGAATTATGTTAATCGATAGTTCAGTCACTGACAATATCTAATGCAAAGCAACTACTGTTGTTGTTATGCATAAATAATATAATTATCAAACACGAGAAAAAGAACTTACCAACTGCAGTTCTTCATTGCAAATTTTTTCGAATTCCGAATGCCAATGTAAACTTTTCTCAACATCTTTACGTATACTTAAAAATAATTTACAAGCTTCTTGTAAATTCGCTATCACACTATGCTGTCGATATTTGAGAATTTGATTAAAATACGGTTCACATTTAATTCGTAGTTGAGATAATAAATTTCGTTGTTCGTCCAAATTTTGATTGACACATATTCGTGCAGCATCAACTTTATCACGAAATGTCTTAGATGTCACTTCGTTATGATTTATTTCACCTTGAGTACGATACCATTTTGTTAGAGTATGAACTAATAAGGAATATTGTGAAAAAGAATAATTTCAAATTTTATTGAGATAAATAAGAATTTATTTGACTGAATGACTAAACAACGACAAACGTCCAGACCTCTGGTGCCCCAAACTATCTTATATCTCCAGTCGTGAATAGATGAGAAGACAAATCAACATTGAAATAACTCTTTGCTATTGATATAAATGATTATATGGTGGAAAATACATAGATCTATCGAATAGTTAATGGTGGGTATGAGAACCAGTTAAAACGACTAAATTTTTTTCATAATGTCTGGAAATTCGAAAATTTGTTTCTTCAAAACATTTTCTGTCGAACATTTACTTAAAATAATAACTTCACTCGTAAAGGATAATAATGTAACGTTTTTATTAACAGTTTTCAGTTTTTCTTCAAATATGACTGAAGATATTCCATACGCTGAAACTAAGGGAGGAATTTATTTGACCGAAAGTGAGCAGTAAACCAGTGCTTGAAGTCACTAACTTCTAGGCTTAGCCATGTTGGTAGATGCAGACTACTTGGTTGGGGCACGCGTGACTATCGTAACCAATGGTTGGAGACTCTTGGTGACATGGCTCAGAATCGATCACAATGGCGTAGGTGTATACACTCTCTGTCTTCTCTTAAACTAAGAGGTTAAAATCGCTTCATATCTTTCTTTCTACGAACTAATTCTTTCTTCTTGTATTATATCCTTATTGCAATCTTTCTTTTATATATTACCACCACTGAATTAACTACTTTTATGAATCCGGTGTCCATCTTGTTGTGTTAATGAGGTATGGCAACTTGGACCGATGCATATATGTGCCTGGTCCTACGTTGTAGCTGACTGACTGACTGAAATTGGTGTGAGACACGAACTTTAAATATCTAGTACACAGTAGTCACATCTCTATCACTGACTAAGTTTGGAGCTCTTTACCCTCCGTACACTCTTTACCACCCAGTTATGATTGATAGGTACCAATTAATTTTATCTGTTCACTGGGATCAGTTACAAAGAATAGCTAGTATCAACCTCTGGTGAAGATGATCTTCAAACGAGGCACTTTCTAAACATAGTCCAATTAAATACAAGCTACGGTGTAAAATATTACAAAATAATTGTTGTTCTTCAATAGCATGCAGAAAATCTTTATACACAATGAAAGTTTACTAACTGTAAATTAAAGGTTTTCATATTGAAATTCATTCTAACACCATGTATAAAATGCTCAATTAGTTAATTAATGGTGAAGGGTTATTGCTTTTGTAGACGATTGGAAATACCTCATATTGAACACTAATTTAACCACAAGTTTTCATTTTTAACAGCTTTCCAACAATCACTTACAAAACTTATGACAAAATTTATTCTAGATTGAGTTGAATCTTTAGTTTAAGAAGTTGCTAAAATTCACTCAAAATGCACCATTTCAAGTAAGTAAACGACTGTCGATTTGGATTGTTTACACGTTAAGTAAATGTGCAGTTCTTTTTATTTTATTGTGAATTAAATAAATGTAAACATTTACGATAATTAAAAATCATAAAATCAACATAAAACAATTGATAATTTACCAAAATTTGGCGGTAAACAAACTAAATCCCACATTTTTATTACATCATCACGTTGATGCTTATTCACAATAAGCTCATCCCATATACGAATTAAATCTTTGCGTAAATTTTCAATTTCTTCTATTACTTCAATTTCTTTAGGTTCAAAATTTGATTGAATATATACTAAAAGTTCATTGTTAGACATGTCCAATGTTTGAAAATTCATTTCATGTTGTTTAAATAATGCTATCACATCGTAATCTTTTTCAGAAACCTATAAACAAAGAAAATCTAAGAATAATAAACAGTAATGAGAAATAATGTACAATAGAAATATGATATAAAGAGTTATCATACAATTGAATGAAACCATATAAATAATTTATTTAAAGAATGAAATAGAAAACATTAGGAATTAACCATAGATGATTTTATAAACTTAAAAATTCTATAAACAAAACGAATTTATTTATTCAGACAAAAACAATTCAATCAACTATGTTTTTGTGAAATACAAATAGATAAGAATCAAAATAAAATATGAATTAGAAAAATCATTCTATTAGATTATGTTGTATTTATCAGTTAAACAATGGTAGATATTATTCAACAAGAGAATGATAGGCATGTTTTCATTCTAGTTACCCTGTAATTATAAATTTACTAAAACTGATTTTCAGGATTTCTTTCCAATTGTACGGAAGAAAACGTTTTAAGCATATTATTGTTTTGTTAGGCGAAAAAAGACAATTAACAAACATATTATAGATAAGAATATATATGTATATGACGTACCAGTTGAACAGACAAGCGTATTTTGTCGACTTTTTCACGAAAACATGAATTCAGTTTCTCTGATGGTTCACGAGACAAAATATTGGTATAACCAGTTCTGAAAGCAATATCATTGCTTTCCTCCTTACGCAGCATTTCTTCTATCTGATGTAAAGAAAAGATTTCAAAATAAGTGTAAATGAAGCCCAGGAGTCCAAAGAAGATAACAAATATGTAAAAAAAAACATCAATACAGTATGAACGAGGGAAGCAAAAATACTACTATTGGTAAAATATATAATTATAACGAGTCTGATAAACATCATAGTGATAGAAGGTGGTTAAAATATAAGATAACATTTTAGTCTATTTATAAGTGAAACTGAAATTTTCCCATTCCAAATTTTGGTGCATGCTGCTACACAGTATGTATAATCTTATTCGTGAATTTATTTAGGAGTCATACCGATCTGTATAAGTCGTCAAAAATTTTTCGAGTCGGCTACAAACGTATATATGAAGAGCTGTATTTATACTGAATAACATTTGGTAGCAGTCAGAGGATAGTTGCCTGCTGATTTTCCTATTTTCAGTGATACATTGTGGGGATCAATAATACTTGCTTAGGACTAGTTCACAATTCATACAAATCTGCTTTTCTTATCATGTCAATAAACTCAGTCATATCACATTTAAATACCATAAATAAGTTTACTTGCTAACGACATTTTTCTTACATCATAATTATACAACACAAATTATTCTTTAATGATTAATAATACCTGCTAGATGTATTTCTATAAATAATGGACTAAATAGTAAATGAATAAACTCATTTTCACTCGAAATCCAGAGACTCATAAACATGAACCTCACATAGACACTCAAAGAAATATTATGCACGGTTCACTGACATCCGCTGTCTACTAGAAGCGATCTAGTATTCTTTGTGAGAAATTTAAGATTTTTGTGACATAAGTGATGAAGTTATCTGTGATCTTCCCATGTCTTATACTTTTAACAACCAAGCTTTATGACAGTAAAGCAAAAGGGTAATAAAACTATTGCACAGTACGCCCCGTTCTGAATGAACGTTTAGAAATTTTGCTCAGTTAAACAATGCTATGCGAACTGGTGAGTACTATGAATACATTCGGTATTCAAGCTGATATTTTGTCCACAAATGTACTAACAAGATTCATGCTACATCTTATAAAGGTGAAGAGTCAGATATACTTATTTACCCTGTTGTTCATTAGTAATACAGACGACAATAGAGACTGGTTTAAGCACATCATCACGCTCCCCGACACTCGAGCTGTGAATCACAATAATTAAACTGATTCTTTACATATTCATGATTCTAGATCCTACATTTTTAGCTACAAAACACCTTGGTATTTGGTATTAAATAGGGTTGTTGAGTGCCTCACCTCGCTAAGACATACAAGCACGCAAGCGATTAATCATTTCGACTGGATTATTTCGTTATTTTAATACCTACATGAAAGAATATAATAATAGTGCTGCATAAAATCAATGAAATATGGTTACTTCCATACAACTGGTTTTCTGGTAGTTCATTCAACAGTAGGAGAATTCTTTAAGACAATATTTGCAGAAGAATTTTATGACAGTCGTAATTTAGTCTAACCCTCTTAGAAAAATGTGTGACGGAGTTGGATGATGAGCAAATATCACATCGTAGTACATTCCTAGCTATAAATCTGCATTTTTAGATCTTTACTACAGCGTACTAAGCTAAAATATAACAGTAGAATGACTCAATCTTATCTATTCAATAAACGACTTTTTAAGTACAATGAGACCAGAAAGAACAAACATCCCATTTATCATACTTCATGCGGATATCAATATTGAGTCAACCTGATTAACATATAAAATTATCACTTATATGTACAATCATATTGAGAACTTTAAAATTTGTAGTTGTATCTATTAATGTAAATAACTTTATAGTTCATCTCGCTAAAAGAAAATCAAATATTTAATTTGGATCAGTTATTATTACTTATTATTATTAGCTTTATTCAATATTAGATTTTTAGTACAATATAGAACTCTGAGCACAAAGTATTTCAATAAGTTTCCGTTTCTTACTTCGTAGTCGATCCTGACGATAAATATAGAGTGATCGTTAGTTAAAAGTTAGCAGTCCAGTAAATAGACATCTAAATAATGAAAATTCTTTTCGCTGCACATTGCCAGAAACCACGATATCGCTAATTGGCCTTTTGTAACTTGTACAACGAAAGGTTGTACACTTTTTAGAAACACATCTGGATAGGTTATGTGATTAATAGCCTTAATGATGTATCAAAACAAACAAAATTAGATAACTTGTTGAAATATCTAGATGGCTGGGACAGGTAGCCCAGATGTTCAAGCAGGCCGCGACATCATATCGATCCATTTATTGATTACATGCGCATTATGATCACAGTTCCATTACTCGCAATAAAATTTTACATGAAATTTTTCGAACTGTAATAAAGGCGTTTATAGCACCTAAGTGAAGTTTCCCGATGAAGTAACATCACATTTACTCTAAAACAACAGCCTCAACATCGAAAAAAGCGATATTCGATGTCTGAATGCAATTAACAAGAACAGAAAGTGTTGATACTCAACAACATCAATTCCACAGACAAAAACTATTACAATAAAGTTTTTTATTTTTAAAATGGATAAAATCAATACCTCTCCAAGAGTTTTGAATCGTTCTCCAGCTAATGGCTTCAGTGAATGAACTTTACGTCTCAAACTATCTACTCCACCAGATTGATGAACCTTGACAGATTCTTTTAATAATGCTTCACAAATCAGTTGAAATACACTGAGTTCCAATGAACGTGGAAAATTGTGTTGATTCATTTCACTGAAGAAATCAAAAATAATAATAATAACAAAGAAAAATGTGCTTAAATTTTTCTTCTTAAATTGAAGTTACATCAAATTGATGAATAAAGTGAAGCTAATTAAGCTTAATAAATCGATAGTTTGACATGGTTTCACAATACTACTGAATAAATGCATTAAAATACATGAATACAATGTGGAAAAGATTGTTCAAAGCAAAAATTAATAAATATTAATCTCATAAAAATGTTATAAAACAAAATATTTTTTGAGGGTCAATTAAAAAGAACAAACAAGAAAACTGTTTTTCATAAAAGCTATTATCAAACCTAGGCTGACTGTTGGTTCGAGGATAAGAGGATAAAAATTAAAACAACAAATATTGATTTGGCATAATTTTAAATTTCCAGTGCTACTTATTCACTTGTTATTTATAGAAAGTTACTTAGTAAAACAAACATTTATTTTTGTCAAATGGCTCACAATGAAAAGAACAAAAATTAGATTGTATGGTTCAGTAATTTTAGTATTGGAGGCTTGATATATCAGCGTTATAAAAAGATAAATCAATAAGTAACATCCATGTAGCAGACAACATAGTTAAATCACAGTAACGCTTGACAGGTAACCGTAAAACAGAGTTTGGTACCATACTATACATTATTCATTTTGTCTTTACTGTTTACAACCGATGATAATTAGGTTAAACTGTATGATTCTGCTGAGATATGACGAGAACAACACTACATTTTACTCGTTGCATATGGCTTCAAAAATCTATCTAATGGAGTTACAGAGAGTGAATGTCAGGATGATGTTTGTAATAAACAAAATAGTTATACCGCCTAACTAGGTGAAAATATTGTTCGTTATTTACCAAGTAAATATTTATTTTCTTGTCTTCAAGTCACAGTTTTTGTGAGGGCTGACGATACTAACCGACATTCCATGAGAAGCAACTGAAGCTGCCTCGAACCTGGGACCAATGGATTGAGATATGTGTCATAGTCACCAACATATTTAGAAAATCTCAAAGTGCATATAGCTTCCTACTCTTGCAGCGTAACAGTTTCAAGGCAACTGGGAAAGTGGTTTGCTTAAACTTTCATATGTTTATTGGTATTTGAAACGAAGAGAATGACTGTGTTAGTGTTAAAGAATAAATGCAAAATTTTGAGAAACCATCTAACAGTACAACATACAAGAAATTAGTATGGGGTATTTTTTCACGGTGACTTCCTGTTACGGAAGAAGAGCTGGAAGAATAAATTCATCTATCGACTCGAAATCGAATTGAGGTTCCTTGAAATACCCGAGTTTCTTATTTAACCATGTATCCTGTTCATTAAGCCTTGTACCAGCATTTGTTTTAGAAATGCAAAGATTCAAAGGAGCATAATCAGGTGCGACCATGATGGTAAATTGACAAAATGTAGTGGCAATTGTATATTTCGTACTTCATTAGTTAGACATTTGCAAAGAAATCATTAGTAGAACATAGAATATACATGGGAAGTTGTTATCAATTTTTTCTCAAGATAATCATCAATCTGAAGCAGACTCCGTGTTTAACATGACTGTTAACGATAACACTGGTCTACTTTACTAATAGGATTTATTATACCACTAGGTTCAACACATCTTATCATACATAAAATAATAAGACCACTGTCAATATAAACATACTGATTACTCGAAAAGTGGTAAATTAGAATAATTGTCTACCTTTCAAGAACCGTATCAGCATTTTTCAATTTAGCAAATTCTGAATTGATGATTGCAGTCCGAGTATCATTTGCTATAATAAGAGCTTCAAGGACGGGAAACGGGACCAACATGTCAAAAATATCGCCTGAATCACAAGGAAGTAAGGGTATTTGAAACATTTCTTTTGTTATAATATAGTTTGCTAAGACAGAAGCAGGTTGAGATTCACCAAGTATTTCACTCTCGTTAACAGTTTGAAACGTTTCAGACCAACGACGAGATGAAAGACTACGTGTGAATTTAGAGACTAGGAGTGTGCTAGATTCCTGTTGAGCAGAAATAAATGTAAATGTAAAATTTTTAAAAAGCTTTAACGATAGCTATTTTGAAATCAGATTATACACTAGGCAGGCCCAGTGAATAAAGACATCCATACTAAGTGTAAAATCGATATGGTATTCGACAAAGTACAGTGCAACACTTGAACAAAGCTTCGGTGCTAACAAGTCTTCAAGGTAAATAATCGATACTTGATCCTGAATTACTTATTTAATGTATTCAGCAAACTGATATTTAACGATACGTTTATCATATCTGAACCAATTCATAACAAAAAGAAACTGATTGTGGATGAGTCGCGAGAGGCAAATCGATTGGCGAGATAGTAAATCTTCACTAACTGGGGTAGTTAGGATATAGGTTACATATGATCAACCACAGCCTGCCTCCACTGGCGATGTATGGTGTGGGAGTAGGTCAGAAGGAAGTTAGGGGTATCCGAACAAAAAATGGCACCAGTCTATGGAGTTGTTGACAAGTGGACTAAGCCATGTTATAGTATGTATAGACTACTAGACTGAGATCCGCGTGATTATCGTAGACTTTGAATGACGTGGCTCAAAATCGTTTGCAATGATGCAGTTACATCCATTATTGGTCTCCCCTCAGATTCCAAGCTTCTGAAGTCCTTATAATTTTTTTATTTCGCTAGTTTATATTTTTTTCCAGAATTGTATTTTGGGTGCTTAATCTTTTCTATCACCAAATACTACTACTACCTTTACTGCCACGGGAAGGAACAATATGTACGAAATCAAATTATAATTAAAACTTTAGAGGATGATAAAGATTTAATACATTAGCACTGCTTCTAAGTATTTCATTCAAAGTCTCTAACTATGGATTACGATGATTTTACAAATCCAAAGCAAGAAGTTTACACCTCCCGACATGAGTCAAGTCAACGGGTACTGACTAAACGGACTAATAATCTGTTTTAGTTTGATGGCCCCTGTATTTCTTTTGACCTACTTAAACTCCAGTTAAGATTCGTGTCTATATGGAGGGAGGCTAGGAATGGGTAAAGTATGTTCTAATCACCTCGGTCAATGAACATTCACAGCCTCATCAAACTATTTGTCATCCTGATCTTGTACTCTAAGCCTAACTTTAACACTACTAAGTCAATGTCTCCAATCCAACACTCGCAAGGCATCAACGACCGAACACTAATAACTTATGCATGTTCCCATCCTTTGAAGACCACGTTCTAGAGGGATAAATAAACAGAAAGATGACTATGAAGTTTTTGAACAGAAAAAAATCACTAATTTCCGTCTGAACACTAGAGCCCAAGTAGTGTTTTAAGGTAGTACATTCTTGAAGCGGAAACAACTTTAAATAATAATTTATTTTTATTTACAAACTTTAAAAACAAACAATTTCATGCTAATTTTTTAAAAATCAATACTAACAGCAAAAAATAAAAGTTTGTAATTATCTATGACTTCAAAATAAACAAGAATACTAATATTAAAAACTTCAGAAACTTGCTGCTTCATTTTTTAACAACACAATTCATCGAAATTATTACCTTGGTGTCCTTTTTACGCCTTAGCTTCTCTTCGCCCAAATAAGTGTTAGCCAAAATGCTGTAATAATTCTGTTTAGTTTTAATAACACGATACCAGTCCTAAATAAGTAATAATAGTGTGAAAAATGAATAAACGTACCTCTGGTACAGATTTAATGATATCTTCATCTTGAAGACAACTGGAAATCATGGAAAATGAATCCAAACACTTCTTATATAATTTATTGATATGGTTGACAATACGTCGATATTCAGGTTCATCTTAAGTGGAGTTCAAAAGAAATAATAAGAGATCAGTGAATGGTTTGCTTTCTTAAACATATACTACTTTTACAGATATCAGGACGCGTTTTGTATAAAAAATACTAGTTATGATGGAAGAATAGGCTTGAAAACTATGAAACATTGAGAACTAATCTATTCTAAATGTCGTATTCGATACTGTCTCCCGTCAGTCTAATTTGAAAGCTATAGAAAGCATAAATGCAGTTCGGGAGCATTTATCTTCCCTAGAGGGACATATTGTCGAAACACAATCGAGTGACATTTCTTTAGAAATGTATTCACTTATAATCATAGTACAATTAAAGAAAAGACAATCTCCAACTTCTCGATTAGTTTACATTAAGCTGAAGAAGGATCATCATGTTAGAACAATTACAGACCGAAATTTTAATTGAGTGTACCCCTTTTTGAAATCAGTTATAACAATACTAGAACACTAGGTCCATGAAAATGGAAAGAAAAGAGTAGTAAATGAATTAAGAGAGTTCAGAAAACGAGGAATATGATAGTAGATAGGATGAATTAGTGTTTCTGCAGGTGTACAGGAGACTAATATTTAAGGATGCCTATATCAAAGAAAATCATGTTATAAGTAAACATTAAAATGAAACTCAATGAATATTACAGACTAAGAGACCTAAGAGAGTGGATACATAACTTGAATATTCCTAATAATGTTGGATCGAACAATGAGCCGTCATTTTAATTAGCGACTTTAATCAATAATGATCCCAACTGTTGATTCCCACCCAACTTTTCCGTATATATGCTTTTATGGATAATTAATTATTATGCACGATGATACAGAAAAGTACTAAATGACAAATAATTATTTATGAAGTTTTATTTGACGTAGATATTTAGTTCTTATAATCAGTCAGTGGTCTTGAGTGTTGTTAGAGGTATGAGGGCAGTTATCACTTCTCAGCTGCCTACACCGTCGAATGGTTCTTCTGAAAAGACCTGAAAATGAAATTGCGTTATAGTTGGCCTCAGTGACCTGAGAGTGTGAACGCAGTGCCAAACAGATAACGCATTAACGCCAGTCACACACGACCTTTTTGTGGGTCATTTTCGTGCTGGCTCCGTACTTGTTGAGACCTTACCGCCGAAGATGAATATCCGTGGGATAAGGCGAGGTGTGCATTTTTAGAGTCGACCTTTTATAACCTCACCCTTCCTTATGGGGAGACAGTATCATCTTTATGCTGGTTGTCTGAAGGAAATACTTTACTGCCGTTACACTTCTGTACAGTCAGCAATACGGCTTCGCCCTCTGACCTTGGGTTCTCCATTTTTAGTTTTAACGTTCTTCAACCGATCTGTCTGGCATGGTAGTACCTTGAGCAACGATTTTTCCAGCCAGCATAGCCCGATTGGTTCACTAGAATAGGCAAGCCCGACCACCACGTTAGTGTGGCAGAAACTGTCATGAGTTCTTTTAATAATTTTGAAAACTACAGGAATAAATAGTACAAATCATTTGTCGAGTGCACAATTATTTACTCGGCTTCGAGCTACATACTGTGTAACGGCTAGTGATGACAACCAGTTACCCGAGTCATGATGTAGGACGGATTTGAGCCTGGGAAGGAATGGTTGAACTCTAAATCATTTAACCACTGAAATATCACACATCAGAATAATGGCACAAATCATGTTCATTTTGTCACAAACGTAAATGGAATGATATTTTAACTCACGATTTATTCGGTATTGTGAACAGTTCCCCTAAGTTATGCAAAATTGTTAATTTATATTATGCAAACCACTACTAGCCAACTGCTTTCAAAATTTGTTAGCAGCGATGTGAAATTTGCGATGGATTTAAACTAGATATGTGAATAAAAACCTATGTATTCCGAAATCATTGACGGTCAGACTCTGACGTACAAAAAATAATGTGTCACTGATTGAAAATAATTAGTGATTCAACCTAGAAGTGATTGCTAAGTTGAAACTGTGATCACTATTTACTCACAATAGTTCTAATAGAAAATTCGACGTTAAGTGACGAAGTATGAACGACTGAATGACTACACAAGGTAAGCAAACAGATAATCTACGAGGTTAGCTACTCTTTGTCGAATGAATGTTTTTATAGCGCGATTAGGTCGGAAATTCCACACTACTAAGTTTATTTGTCGGGTTTACGGTGACATTTTCATACGACTTATTTATAGCAACTGTGTTAAATTTAGGAACGTAGGACAAAATGAGCGCCGTTAAAATTAAGACACCACCTGAAAATATTGTAGTCATATTATTACAAGACGGAAAAAAATAAGATACATTTTGTTTATCATACTGATTTTAGACATACTATCCGATTGCAAGATTTTCCTACAAAAGTTCTCAGGAAATCTTTAAATTTTTTTGCAAAGAGAAACATGAGCAAACTGATTACCGTTTCGAAGTCGAAGAAAGTTGCATTCATTCGCTTGTGCAATCATAACATCGCTGAATACAGACAGTACCTCTTGAGTCATATCATTAGAGGATTGCTCCGTATGTGATGCAAGGTAATCGAATGCCTCAGCTGCTACCTAGAAATGTAGTTTATATTTTCTAAATGTACTAATATAAACGAAATGACAGAATGAAATGCTTGTGAAAAAAATGAAGTTAGATTAATTCACATTCATTGATGAAAAAGCTCAGTGTTCCGGTTGGCACAAAACAACAAAAACAAAAATCGAAATTTAAGAGCTAGGAAAAAAAGACCGAATACAAGGAAAACGATACCAATTTTCAATTATGTTGCTTGATACTGTAAACAGCTTTTTTAACATGTTACGTACTGAATGTAAAAACTTGAAATTTCCTAGCACATGAGGACTAGACCTCCTCTATCACCCTTTAACCTCCTAACTGACAAGTGAAAACATAATGTTTATGAGTTTGTAGGTATCACTACCAAGGTTTGATCTGATAATTTCGAATAAATTGAGCATTGGGTAGATTGTTATAAATAAATATTTGTAATATCCCAATGAGTAGAAAAATTAGATTTTCTGACGTTTCGTGACTTAGTGTAAGCCACTTCTTCGGAGGACTTTTATTTATTCTCTGAAGAAGTGGCTTACACTAAGTCACGAAACGTCGGAAAACCTAATCCTGCCACTCGTCAACTGTTTTCCATTACAGTGAAAAAACCTAAACACAAAATATGAAATACTGCAACTAACTTTTTAGTAAAATATATCATCCCATACATAATAATATGGTAAAGCAAGTAGTCAAAATCTCCACAAAATCAGTTTAATGAGCGCTGTAAGGTTACACATACCTGTAGTCAGTTGTTTCAAAAGTAAACTAAACACAAACCATAAAACAAAGTCACTCATACGAAACACTTCTTGCTGCTCACTTCTTACTGATGGGAGTCATTACAGTATTTTTGTATGAATATCCACCATGCATAAGGACAACAAAATATGATGAGCGAATTATGTGTTTCCTGATATACGTGATTTTACGGAAGATGTTCTTTTAAAATGTTTGATAAACTTAATACATATTTCATTCGACTTCCTTGTGTATGTGTCAATGATTAGCACTAAAAGATACTCAGTAAATATCTTAAATATGGATGAGCTATGTGCACATAAACAAACAAGGATTAATTAAATGTATCTATTAAATTTCAACAACCTACCTTGTAGCTTGAAATAGCCTTCATTAACGAGTTTTCACAGTTTAAATCGTATGTTTTGGCCAAATTGGAATGAGCTGCAGCATAACAAAAGATTATATTCACGTGTTCGAAGTTAAAGGAGTAGTGTTCTAAAAGAAATGTTACAACAATTCAGAGAAGCGACAAATTTACTTGAATAATTTTTGTGCCATATATCACTCCAGCTCCAATGGATACCTAGATCTTCTGACGTATTAAGTCGTTTTTCTAAACTCCATAATACATTATGATATCTGTATGAATGATGAATAAAAACGAAGACGAATAGATGTATGTCAATATGACAATAAACGTTCTAATCACATCAGAGTTTACAGTTCAGAATGGGAATGTACGCAATAGTGACATATTAAACATGTTGATCAAAACGTAGAAACCACTGTTATACAAGCCAAATTACACAAAAAAGACGAGAACAAATTAACTGAAAACTCACAATGCAAGTGACTGGATTCGACTGCCTAGATCATCACTATGTCCAAAACAGGCATCGTGGCGAAACACACTGAGCTTTTTTAGGGATTCGGTACATTGCGTAGCAACAGCATCCCCAAACTTTCCAGTTATGAACTTTTTTAGTGGTGTTATCACGTCAACTTCAGTAGACAATTTTAGCGGAACACTCAAAAATGTCATCGTTGAACAGGTGATCAACGACCTTGAAGAAGGAAATCGACCTTTACAATACAAAACAGCAATGTTGAACACTGTCTTACTCAAAGAAAAGAATCATCAAATTCTTGAAGAAATAACTCACCAACAGTGCATATTTCTATTCTGAAAACTGTATGTATTAAAAACTAATAAAGTGAGGTCTAAGGTTCCAAATACTTTCCAACAATAAGAGCTTTGACCTAACGATCCTACATGTATATTTAAAACAGATTGTCTCTGCGCCTAAGCTGATGTTGACGTATAAACAAGACGTGGACTTCCGAAGAGGGAGGTTTCAACTACCAGTGGAGTCGCCCTACTATGTCGCTGACTAATTGGTTACAAGTAGTCTTTCAGGATCGGATGATTCCTAGGAGCATGGTGTCGTTCAGTCCATGGTCTATCGTGTTGAATTTTGTGCAACCAGATTTCGAAATCCAGCGTTGAATGAAAGGGATCGTGGCTATTTCAGTAGTAATGTCCTTGATAGGTGCTGCTTTTAGCCATGTTGTGAAACGATTAATACATCTTAGGAGAGAAGAACGTCTATTCGATTATTTTATTAACCCACAAGGTCAAGAGAGACACGACCAAAACTAGCTTAAGGAGTTTATCGCTCGCACCCTCACATATTTGTTCTTACGAAGACAGCAGGATTGTTTTGCAATGGACTTGACGTTTGCTCAAACACTTGGATGAATAGTCTTGTGTGATGGATCGAGGGCTTTGAAAATATAATACTCATATGTGATTAGAAGTTCTATTTCAGTAGATGTATCAACGGCAAGGCTTCATTACCTGTTCTAAACTACTTGGTTCAAAGTAGCTTGGTTGCGAATGATAACTCATCATGAAGGTGAATGTCAACCGTTAAAGATGTGCGTGATTAAAAAGATAGATTACTTGAAAAGAATTTCGAGGAATTCCGTAGGAGTGGGTTTGCAGATACGCGGTTGCGCCTAAAAACATGGTACGTGTCCGAAGCAAACTGCAAAATGTTGCCTAGTTCGAGAAACGTTCTGACAGCACACTTGCTCAGTGATAACCTTGTAGCAAAATTTTGAGATGAATGTTTGAGAAACATGCTGCCCAAAAGAACTCCCCTAATAAATGTTAATCATATCCGATGACACGTACCTATATATTTCTATCTACTTACGCCTGTTACCCCTAGTGGAGTAGAGTATGACGCTCACCAGCATTCGCCACCTAACTGTCCCGGAAAGCCCTTTCTAGTTGCTATTCAACCTTTTTATGTCTACTTCCGATTCCCAACGCACTGTGTTCTTTGACCTTCCTCTCCTTCAATCCCCTCCAGGATCTCAAGTTAGCTCTTGCCTCATAATGTAGTTTGGTGATTTCCTCGATGTATGTCTTATCCAACCCTAACGCCCTTTTCTAATTTCCACTTCAGGTAGGAGCTGAGTTGTGCCCCCCGCCCCACAGTTGGCTTTAGCTGAAAGTATGCCGACCAACGAACACCGAGCATCTTGATAATTTAACTAAACACTTAAACCCAGTGTTTCACTGAGGTTTCGTACTGGCGTTCTCAGGAGATGATGACTAATCGATGCTTTATTTCTGTTAATCAGTTTACCTGCATATATCCTCCTCTTTGCTCAGAATATGATTTCTCTCACTCTCGATTATTGCAAGTATAAATTAATTTTTCTCTACTCACAATTTTATTACTTATTGTGCGGTCTACACAGATCTACTTTGATATACATGTGCAGCACGGCTACAATTATACGCGACTCAATTTCGTAAATGTGCCCTTCAGCTAAGCAACCAATCAGAATGGAGCGGGAATTATTACATCCGCCATCTTTGTAGGCAATGGCGGTCGCCTTTCTTCTTTCTGTGCACACATATTATTGTTCAGTCTTAATGTGATTCAAAGTCGTAGACATTGAAATATTTATTAAAGCATTTAGTACCCGTTTATTATCCTGACGAAATCAAAGAAAAATTTGTAAGTAAAGAAAGAACAAACATTCTAGCAGAATAGCATGAATTCATTTTTATTTCGTTGGTCCTCGTCAGCTGCTTACAACCTGTGATATTTAAAATCATAATTAATGGGTTTAAATTACTTACATAAAAGGGTTTGATTGGAAGTTATATTAAAGACATATTCATATAGTATAGCAAGGGTGTAAGTAAATTTAATAGACTGAATATTGTAAATATATACCTTATGTGATGAAAGAACATTGTGACAACAGTTCAAACGGTTAGAAACAAATAAACCTTGATAGGAATAAAATGAGTAGAATTCAGTTGATAAAATAAGATAATTGGAATAAAACATAATGGTGTAATAAATGCAAGAAAGAGTTTAAGGAAAAAGAAAAAACAAATTATTAAGATATAACGAAGGAATATTAATCACCAAGGCAATGAAAGATTAATAACCACCTCCTTTTGAACACATAAATCAGGCTTTTAGCGCCTGATAGCAACTGCTTCAGCAAACTTCAGAAGACTGGAGTTTGGCTGCCTACTAATCACCTTGAGTGATTGTAGGGTATCGACCTGATGTCCTGTAATGGCATTGGACAATAGCCACACAATCCACAAAGCTGTGAACACGGGACTACTCAGAAAATAGATATTCAATATTTAACGCGGAGAAATACCTAACAATGGAGAAGGCGCGAACAAGGAATTGAATGTACTAGAGTTGATCGAGTGGCATGGCTCGGCCATCCAGGCGTGGTCTCTGCTGAATGTTACCTTTTATCTTCTATTCATATTAAATATATTGTTCTTTCTCTAGCCTAACCTTGTTCTACATCATGTATTGGTAATTGATACGATACAGTGAGTTGGTGTAGCCGATGGTGTGACTTCCACGTTAGATCTTATAGATTGGGCAGTTATATCATGACAAATCTACAAATTTAGGATTAAGTCTATTATTAGAGCAGTACTAATATCTTAGTAGACCATAATTCTACAGTCCTGTATCAAGAAGATGTTTGGTGATTGCACTATTTAGAGTCTTTCTTTCTCTTGTTCTGAGGCTTTTTGGGACATGTTCAAAAAATCTGAGATATGCCCTCCTTTCTGTTCGGCCAATGTAGCTGCTTTGGTAGGTACACGTAAATTTATAAATACAATTGGCGGTAACATGAAAAGGATGCTTACCAACTTTTGATTGAGTTATTGAGCATGTTGTTTTATACAGAATTTGAAGTTTGGCCGCCGGATAAGTTCTGGCTAGCGCAGTATTCAGTCTCCTGTTGATTGTGTTTGCAACCTCGTCACCTTTGAAGTTAAGACTTATAGTTATTGGTTTTTTATTGACAGTAACTACTTCAGTATTGTTTTGTTCACGCTTCTTATACTTGTCAATAAACTTTTGTGGGTAAAAGTTGTCTCGCAGGCATTTTTCCACTTTCATCGATCCTTCTTCGAGTTTGTCAGTGATACATATCTTTTCTGCCCTATAAAATAGTGTTTTAACTAATGCCTTCTTGCAACTGAGTGGACAAAAGCTATTGAAATTCAGGTAAATGCCATTCCAAGTACTTTTTCGATAAATCGAACGTTGGACTATTCCGTCTCTCCTACGTTTTATAGCAACATCAAGAAAGTGGAACATGTCTCTTTTCAAAATGATAAAGGGAACTATGTGTATGAAATTTCTCAAAAAACGCCTATCCGAACAATTATTTAGGTCACTGAACCACTTTGTGACAGTACGCTGTAGAATATCAAGTGAAGTGACAAGAGTCCAGCTTTGTGGAGGATGTCTCACGGCAGGCTGTTTCCCGCGCCTGTTTGTAAGATCTTTGCGTTCTTGTAAACTTCCGCCGTCGTTCAAAAACTTAAGACGCATCACTAAATCTCACACTGAATCAACAAAATTACTCATTACGCGACTAATGGATGAAGCCAGTGCTTTTGGTAAAGCGATTATTGATTTAAACATCGTATGTCGGATAAAATTTATAAACTTTATTCGTGATCTTCAAATCAAGGTTTGCAAGGATTTCCATAAATCTCTGTCGGAAACTCTGATAACAGAACATTTATGTTTAGTGTTTCCGGAAAATCCTTCGAAGTTTATCTACAACTTATCAAATATGAAGCTTAATACTATAGGAGCAGAAGCCTTATCACTGGGACTAAAATTTCATATACCAAAAACAAATACTGACAGGATCGATACAGAAGCTCAATTCGAAAGTCTGTTTGACCAGTTTAAGCATTTGCAGCCAATGAATGAGGAAAAGAAAGGATGGTTCAAATCAAAGTTAGTTAATATTGCGAACCAATACTTCGTGTCATCGACACCAAAGTCTAATCTTCTATCCAGAGAACATCTGACAGCCCTAAGAAACATCAAACAAAATAATGAGGTGATGATTTTACGACCGGATAAAGGTTCAGGTGTCGTCCTAATGAATACAGCTGATTATGTCACTAAGATAAAGCAAATCCTTGACGATCAACTGAGATTCAAGGTAGATAAATCCCAAAAAGATTTAACTGATTCAACAGAAAAACGAATCAAAGGCATGCTTAGAGAACTTCTAAAAAGGAAAATGATTGGTATTTCTTCTTATAATGATCTAAAGCCATGTGGGTCAAGTCTGCGTCATATGTATGGTTTCCCAAAAGTTCACAAGCACGACGTTCCCCTTAGACCTATACTATCAATGATAAACTCAGCGTATCACAAAGTTGCACGCTGGCTAGCAGAAAAACTAGAACCGGTTCGTCGAAGATTAGCAACATATACGTTAAAAGATACATTCCAGTTTGCTGATAGACTAAATCGCACGAATGTTGCCGATAAGTTCATGGTTTCTTTTGATGCAACATCCTTGTTCACCAATATACCACTTCTTGAAACTATTGATATAATTTCTCAGAATTATGATCTCCTACCTTTACCAGCCCCGGAAATCAAAAAACTACTATTAATGAGCACAACAGACGTTCAATTCCAGTTTAATAACACCATATAT